CAGAGACAGACTGAGATAAAAAGCACACAAATGAGAAAAAAAGGAACCTTTGGGTTTTTAGTAATGTGAGCAGGCTGCCAATGGATCTAGCTGAGAGAATTCCATACTCCCTTTCACACAAGCAGTTCACATATCCCAAGAGGAGAACCTGGAACTCGGGTTGAGGGCTGTATAAGACAGCCTTAACCCTTGTGAGGAGGGGCACCCTTCTTACCCCTCATAATTAGCAGCTGATATTGGTATTGGGTAGCTGATCTGGATCAGAATATAATAGAGTAGCCCCTAACTATTCCCATTTCAAAGATATTTAATACTCCCCCACCCTCTTTCACTATTTTTCATTTATGAATGGAACATACTAAGTGGCCTTGCAGTATAGTAGAACGTTCTGTCCTCATGACATGATTTGAACTTCATATATTTTTAAAAAGAGATAAATCTTTGACTTGTCCTAATATTCTCAAATTATATTTGGTAGCATCAGATTTTTCAAAGCATTGGCATACCCAGGACAATTCATTATTTCTTTCCTTTTTTTTTCCGAGGAAGATCAGCCCTGAGCTAACATCCATGCTAATCCTCCTCTTTTTGCTGAGGAAGCCTGGCTCTGAGCTAACGTCTATTGCCAATCCTCCTCCTTTTTTTTCCCCAAAGCCCCAGGAGATAGTTGTACGTCATAGTTGCACATCCTTCTAGTTGCTGTATGTGGGACGCGGCCTCAGCAAGGCCGGAGAAGCGGTGCGTTGGTGCGTGCCCGGGATCCGAACCCGGGCTGCCAGTAGCGGAGTGCGCGCACTTAACTGCTAAGCCACGGGGCCAGCTCTCATTATTTCTTTATTAGAATTTATCTTATTCCTAAATAGCAAGAACATTCAAAAGAACTTTGTTTATATAGGCTAGCACATGACTTTGTTGTCATTTGGTGCTTTTAGGGTGACATTCCCCTAGAAATATAGGTGCATGTTCCAGTATCCCTTTTCCAGTCTGACTGAAAGATTCAGAGAAAGATATAGGCAAGATATACACATGGATGTGTATACATACATGCTATGTAGACAAAGTATGATGGGTTGCCTCTGACCACACAGATAACAAGAGCACATAGGTAAAAAATGATGAGAACTGGCTTTAAGTGAAAGGATTGGAAACCTCTGGGGATGGATTTCTCCTTTTTATTTTGGCAAGGAATTTTCATTGCCTGCATAGTGATAAATATTATCAGGGCCCATTTAGTTCAGCAAATCCCATTAATTCCACAGAACTTCTCCATCCCTCTAAATTTAGGAAAAGTTATGAAGTAAGCATAGTCCATACTGACATTCAAGAATATTCAGCACATTATTTCAAGCTTTGTTCCAGTCTTTCTTTAAGACCTTACAGAACTAAATACTTTATCTTAGTAGCACTTTTCACTAATAGAATTTTACCTTCCTATACGTATTTATTTAAATAATACCTATCTCCCTCATCATAATAAAGGAAGGCAGAAAGATTATCTACTTTTGTTCACCATTATACCTCTAGAGCTTATTACAATGCCTTGTAAATAATTAGTGCTCAATAAATATTTAATGAATGAGTAAATTCTTGAATGAATGCATGAATGAATGAAAATAAGCTCAATCCTAACATTCCTCTCTCCAAGCTGCCCAGAATAAAGCTATATTTTCCTCTCTGAAATAGAACCAAAATACTAATCATTGATATGGAGACAAGGTGATAATGATTTAGCAATGTCACTATTAGACACTATTATGTCTTTTGCATTTGAGAGAGAGGGGGGAAGCAAACTAAGGAGAAAAGAGGAGGAGGGGAAGGGGAAGGGGAGAGAGTAGGGGAGATGGAGAGAAAGAGGGAGAACAATGAATGCCTAGAGTTTGTTTAACAGAAAGGAATTAATGAGTAAGGTGGAATGTCAGGCATCAACTTCAGAGCTAGTTGTTTAAGGGACAGGATTTTAAACGCATTTTAACAAGCTTAGTTAGTTAACTACCTAGTTATAATAACAGAGCCTGGATACAATATATATTATTAATATAACACCATATTTCATTCTCTTGAACAATGATTTGTTGTCTGGCTAAATATGAATAAGCCCCAATTTTTTGTAAGGATAGGCTTTTTTCCTGATTTTTAGAATAGACATCTTCCTGTTAATCTAGTCTTTCCAAAATCAGTAGCTTTACTAAGATAAATCAGCTATCAGTTATCACATCAGCAAGAACCATTGTGCCACTCAGTGGCTGCATGATTGTGGGCAAATCACTTTACCTCTTTGAGTCTGCTTCCCTAGTTGTAAAGACAGGTAAATTAATATCTACCCTGTAGACTTTAAGCTAAAATTGCTCATAGGAGACAAATAAGATCATTATATAATGATAAAGGGGTCAAATCATCAAGAAGATACAACAAAGTAAATATTTATATACCCAACATTGGAGCACCTAAGTATATAAAGCAAATACTAACAGAACTAAAAGGAGAAATAAACAGGAATACAATAATAGTTGGGGTCTTTAATACTCCACTCTCAACAATGGATAGATCATCCAGACAGAGAATCAACAAAGAAATAGCAGATCTGAACAACACTATAGACCAAATGGACCTAACAGACACATATGGAACACTCCATCCAATAGCAAAAGAATACACCTTCTTCTCAAGGGCACACAGAACTTTTTCTAGGGTAGATCATGTGTTAGGCCACAAAACAAGTCTCAAAAAATTTAAGAAGATAGAACTTTTATCAAGTATCTTTTCTGACTACCATGGTATGAAACTAGAAACCAGTAACAGGAGGAAAGCTGGAAAATTCATGAATACATGGAATAAAACAACAGAATCCTGAACAGCCAGTGGATCAAAGAAACCAAAATAGAAATAAAAAAATATCTTGAGACAAATAGAAACACAACGCATCAAAACTTATGAGATGCAGTAAAAGCAGTTCTAAGAGGAAGGTTTATAGCTATAAACACACGTATCAAGAAAAAAGAAAGATCTCAAATAAACAATCTAATATTATACCTCAAAGAACTAGGAAAAGAGGAACAAACTAAGCTCACAGTTAGCAGAAGGAAGGAAATTATAAATATTAGAGCAGAAAGGAATGAAATAGGGAACAGGAAAATAATGAAAAGAAAAAGATTATAAAAGAAAAGATTAACAAAATTAAGAGCTGGTTCTTTGAAAAGATAAACAAAATTGACAAAACTTTAGCTACACTAACCAACAAAAAAAGAGAGAGGACTCAAATAAATAAAATCATAAATGAAAGAGAAGACATTACAACTAACACCACAGAAACACAAAGGATCATAAAAGACTACTATGAACAATTATTTGCCAATAATTGGACAACCTAGAAGAAATGGATAAATTCCTAGAAACACAAAATCTACTAAGAATGAATTATAAAGAAATAGAAAATCTGAACAGACCAATAATGAGTAAGGAGATTGAACTGGTACTCAAAAACTTCCCAACAAAGAAAAGCCCAGGGCAAATAGTTTCACTGGTGAATTTTATCAAACATTTAAAGAAGAATTAATGCCAATCCTCTCAAACTTTCCCAAAAAGTTTATGAAAAAGGAACTTTCTCAAACTCATTTTACAAGGTCAGCATTACCCTGACAACAAAGCCAGATAAGAACTACAGACTAATATCTCTGATACATTTAGATGCAAAAAAATCTCAAAAAAATACTAGCAAACTGAGTTCAGCAGCACATTAAAAGGATTATACACCATGATCAAGTGGGATTCATCCCTTGGATACAAGGATGGTTCAACATACTCAAATCAATAAAACTAATAGAACAATAAATTAATTAATAGAATAATAATTAACAGAACAATAAAATTAATAGAACATTAATAGAACAAAAGATAAAAATCATACTATTATCTCAATATATGCAGAAAAAAACTGACAAAATTCTATATCCTTTCATGATAAAAATTCTCAATAAATTGAGTATAGAAGGAATGTACCTCAACAAAATAAAGGCCATTTATGACAAGCCCACAGCTAACATCATACTCAATGGTAAAAGGTTTAAAGCTTTTCCTATAAGATCAAAAACAAGACAAGGGGAGCTCACTCTCAACACTCCTATTCAATATAGTACTGGAAGTCCTAGCCAGAGCAATCGGGCAAGAGAAAGAAATAAAAGACATGCAAATTGCACAGGGAAAAGTAAAATTGTCTCTGTTTGCAGATGACATAATCTTATATATAGAAAACCCTAGAGATTCTGCCAAAAAAACTATTAGAACTAATAACTAAATTTAAAGTTATAGGATATAAAATCAACATACAAAAATCATTCGCATTTCTATACACTAACAACAAACTCTCTGATAAAGAAATAAAGAAAACTATGGCCTAGAAGAGCAACAACATTGCAAACAGGTCAGCATAGGAAAGAGAATAAACACACACGTATACACCAATCCTGCTCATCATACGGCCTCCAGCAAGAACAGAGAATAAATTTGAGACACTGAAAATAGTCCCACAAAACTAAAAACATCTCCCCAATCCACACTCTATGAATGTTTTATTTAATCCAGAAGGCCACATTTATTTTGCAATTGCAAAGAGATAATATTTGAGAGGCAAAGACAATTAGGACATCTTGTGTCACCCTGCTATCTCCACCAATTTTCCCAAACCTGTTGTAGCTGTTTGCACCAATTCCACACTTTAAATGCCTGGACCAGCCCTTGGTCTCCTTCCAGGCTCTTAGCATCTTCCTTTTATCATTAGATTACTTCTTCCCCAAACCTCTCTCACAGGAATTTAGGGATGAGACTAAGAGGGTGACAGTATCATTGAGGGAAGATACTGTTGAGTGCCTCACTCCATCAAATTTAGTGGGCTAGCAGAACCTTTGCAGGACCTGTGGTCTGGACATGAACCAGGGTAGGAGGCCTCCGCCTAAGGAGAACCTTAAAGCAGAGTTCAGTCTAGCTGGATTCTCAGAAAAACTTACAGCTTTCAATTTCCAAGGTGCAGTTCTGTTCATCCAGTGGGTACCGCCTTAGGTCCATCATGCAGGCAGCTGTGGTGGTGATTCTAGAAGAGAAATAGCAATGATATATGCTGTTAGCTGGTCCACGGTTGGAGTTGGAAAAATTAAATCCAAGTATCAAAGAGGACAGAACTGGGCTTTTAGGAGACTGATTTAGTTAAAGCTATAGTAAAAAAAAGTGTGCTGCAACTTTGGATAACCATTTTCCTTTATAAGCCTCAGGATGATTTGTAAGATAAAGAGATTGGACTGAATCAGTATTGTCCCAAAGTGTGGTCCATTACCTCCTTATACCAAAACCATCCAGGAGTGTTTGTTAAATAGGCAGTTCCCATGTTCAAGAATATTTGGGGGTGGAGTGGGGCAGTCCCAGGACTGTATTTCACAATTGATTGAGAATAGTGACATAGATATTCCTCTTCCACTCACATTTGTTTTCTCCTCCCTTTCTCAAGACCCTAAAATCTAATCTTCAGTCAATCTTGGCTTTGATCCATCATTTATGTCCTTTCTATGCATAGTATAGTACTTTGTAAGTGTTTTAACACAACACACGATAGGCCTTTCGTCTATCACCTGATTTGCTCTGACCTGAGTATCTGATATTCTCATGACCCATTAGAGAGCTTCCCTCTACGAGCTGGCAGTTATTTACTTAGAATACTTGGTACCTTTATTATTTTATCAGAGAGAAATGAAAATGCCCCTTTAATGTCTTTACATTTCTCTGTCATCATTTTTCACTAATCTCTCTATTGAAGACCTACTAGAAGGAAACAAAAAACATACAACCCTAAATGATTTATCAATATGTGTTTTCTGACCAACAAGGCAGCATAATGTCATGAAAAAAACACAAGTTTTAGAATACAACAGACATAGGTATGAATTCTAACTCTGCCTCACTAACTGATTCACTTCAAGATGGTTAATATCTCCTAACCAACCTTAGTTTCTTTGTCTATAAAAAGGGGATATTAACAACAATAATGATAATTTCCTAACAGCGTTTCTGTAAGAATTAATATAATAATTTATGTAAGGAATATAAAAGAGTACCTGACACATAGAGGCCCTTTACATCTGCTGAAGAAAAGTAAGAGTAGAATTGATGTTAAATTTGACCAACTGTCGCTTACTCTACTCTAAGGGGCACTACACTATGTGTTAGGAACAGAGAAATAAGAAGCAGCCCTAGCTGGGAGAAACAGTCTACAGCTAGAGCTTTTCCATCAAAAAGGTCTTGGGCAGAGCTTAGACAAGTAATCTAGGTGGACTGAGTCTATGGAATTCCTCAGTTAGGTGTGAGAGTCCCATTCCTTAGTAGGAGGATGGAAATAAGTGATTCAATTAATGTAAGTAGTTCATGCCTCTTCAGTTTGATTATTCCTTCATTAAGGTTTGTGCTCTGTTAATTTTTGCTTTCCTTTTTAGTTTTAAGTGAGGATCCTAGGGGCAATGTTCATCCTTGATTCCTTCCTTTCCTTCACCAAGACGTGTTGGCTACTCTGCTTCAACTCCTTTCCATCTCCACTGTTTCCCTCAGAGTCTATGGCCCCATTGCCTCTCTGCCATGTTACCACAGTAGCTTTGTCTCCCAGCCTCTGCATTTGCCTCCCTACTATCCATTATCCAAACAACAGTCAGAGATCTTTTAAAAACATAGGTCAGATTTTATCACACCTCTGCTTAGAAATTTTAGTGACTCTCCCAGTAAAATCCAAAGTCTTGGCTTTGGCCTACTTTGCCCTGAATAATCTGATTCTTCCTTCTCAATATTATCTCATGTTATGTCCCCACTCACCATCTTCCAGCCTTCACATTTGTTCTCTCTGCCTAGTCTGTGTGTCTCCTGATCTTCACAGATCCCTCTCTTCTGATCCTTCAGCTCAAAAATCACCTCCTCTGAGAGGCCTTCCCAAGCAGCCCACCCAATGTGGCTGCTTAATTAACGCTCCATCTTATGTATTTCCTTCAAGTAATTATCACAATCTAAAATTATCTTGCTTATTTATTTTTTTAAGAACTATTTTCGCAATAAAATTAAAGCTGTTTAAGAGCTCAGACTTTGTTCTATTTACTGTAAGAAATCAATAAATATCTGTTGAATGAATAAATACATGAATTATAAAGAGGCAAGCAGTTGGTTTTGCTCATTATAAATATTTTTATTTGGAGGATTATTTTATTGCATTATTTTTCTTCTGTTTTTAGCTTAAAATTATAATATTTTATTTTGATATATATTTTTTTATTGAGGTATAATTGATATATAACATTATTTTAGTTTCAGATGTATCATATAGTGATTCAATATTTGTATATATTGCAAAATGATTACCACAATAAGTCTAGTTAACATCTGTCACCATACATAGCTACAAAATGTTTTTTTCTTGTGATGAGAACTTTTAAGATCTATTCTCTTCTCTTTATATTTTTAAAAGTAAGTAAATTTTAATCCATTTAATTAACATTACATAAATAGTACCAAAGTTTATTTTATTATCAAACTGATTCTATTTTCAATGAAATTTATCAAATTTTTAAATTCTACAAAAATTAACATTCACATTTTATTCTTTACTCAGGTTTAAAACAATGACAATTTATTTTGGCTATGTGATACTTGCTGATTTTCTCACTGGTCCACCAACTGTTTTTGTTTTTTATTTTTTTTGGCATGTAGATACAACCTGAATTGCCACTAACACACAGGAACCTGTAAATGCAGAATAGAAAATTTCAAAGGAAATGAAATTAGGTACATTGTGGGCATACCGAACACCCATGCTATTTATGTAAAATAGCAGAAATAATCCTCATCTTGAGAAACTAGAGAAAATCAACTTCATCTGATAGAATGAACACAAAGGTCATGAAAGATACAAGGGCACGCATATGATAAAAAGAGAGAGAGTCATGAACAGATGCCTGACTGTGTAAGCGAGGTGAAGTCTGCAATCACTACTATAGGTTGTGGTCACACTTTCTGCTGACACATATTCATGGCAACTAGCCATTCACTAACATCTGTGAACAAGTGCTATGAACACTAGTGCTGTGAACAAGAAAAATAAATCGACTAGTGCTACTGCAGACACAATGAGTTTTACTCATGTTTTAAAAATAAAGTAGAAGAATGTGTTTTTCTCACGTCAATAATATTCATATTTATACCAGTGTATTACTTTTTTAAATGCTATAATATATATCACAACTAAAAAAATTATGTGTTTTCAAGTCGATGTTTACAAGGCATTTGTGTCTCCTATTGGATTAAAGCAGAAACTCTGTAGCCAAAAGAATTCATTTGGAATCTTGATCATACAAACCAGGAAGAGTGACCTGGGACAAGTCACTTATATTCTCCAACACTTGGTTGCCCCTGAAAACTTGAATTAAAAACTTGCCATCCTAATTTAATGTGAGACGATAAAAGTAGGCAGAGATCTGTAACTCATAAAATGTTCTGCAACTTTTGTTATTACTACTTGTTAATGAGTAGATAAGTGATACCTCATTTGACCGGTGGGTTTTGGTAGTAAGCATATGTATATGTTTGTATACATGAAGAAATGTAGAATACTCACACACACATATCATAAGCAAAGCAGAGCTATAAAACATGTAAATAGCTTCCCAACATATAAATATGCAAAAAAATAATTATGCCATATGTGTATATGGAACTCTATTTAATAGATTTTAAGACAAAGTACAGACATGTAACAAATCTGCATCTTTTCCAGGTGCTTTGTGAGATCAGGAAGCACATCTGTTTTTGTCTTATTTGTATCTCAAGTACTTTGCCAGGTGCCTGGCACATGTCACAAACCCAAGATTAAAATAACAATAAAAATAATAACAATAATAATAATGATGATAAAACAAAGAAAAGAAACTCATGGTCATAAGCACTCTCAATCGAGAATTCTAAAGCAATTTTCTGTATTAAGTGCCTGATTTAATTCATGTAAAAAATTCTCAAACAAATTTGAAAGTTAAAATCATGCTTACAGAAGAAGCTACCCAGGAACGAATCTTAATCAGAAAAGCTCAGTGATAAGCATCAAAATCTATTCTTTGGGACTTTCTGATTTATAACAGGGCTAAGTTTCTCTAGGAATAAGTCAATACAACAAATATACTTAATGGGCTTTTCATGAACATGCCTTTCTGAATCCTGATAAATATCCCTAATGGGCCTTAAATTATTCAATACCGCTACTAGGAGTCTTTAAGTGACTCTAGTAACTCATTATGCATGTATCCTGATTAAGTTTTAAGATCATTGTGAAATTGAAGACAGCTCTGCCTTCAATCAAAGGAAGCATCAATGATGCCTCCAGAATGTACCTCATTTACCTGTGGCAAATCCTCTATAGTTAAAAGTGGAAACGTGTTGTCTTTGGGGCTGAATACTATTGCATGATGAAAGGCACATTTGGAGAATGCCCATATTCTGACTGAGCTAAGGGATCTTTGCACAAACTTTTTATTCATTAGCCATTGGGTACTGTCATTCAAAAAATGACTTGTGTCATAAAATACTGACACAGAAAAAAAAAAACTAAATATGTAACATAGCCTAAAACAATCACTAAAAGCATCTATAAAATCAAAAAGTACTACAGGTATGCCAGCATTTTGTACCAAAGCCATAACAGATATTTTATAGTGTCATTACCTGAGGTTTAATGATGCTACCATAGCATCTCAAATTTGAATACGATGAAAGACAGTTATTAAGTAATAGTAGATGCCTTTGCCCCTCAGCCAATAAGGAATAACTCAGAATCATAATCAATGTGACACGTTTCAGGCCTTTCAGCAGATTCTTCAAGAAGGGCTTCAGGAGCTAGAATACGTGGATGATTGTGTGCTTAACATGTGAGAAACCTGTTAGGATTTCAACCTAAGATTATAAGAAAGCAACTTTGGACTTCTACTTTGTTTGATTTCTTTATCTAGACAACCATCCGTATTCCACAAAAAAATTGTTTTTTCAACATATTTGTATGTTTTTTAAGAAAATCAGATG